CAAACTTTACTCGTATTATATATAGGATATTTAATTGTTGTACAGTAGTATATTAATGTGCAAGATAATAATAATTGGGTAGTTGAGTATCAGCTTTACTTGTACCAATGCTTAGTCTACCGAGCTGGTTTAAAAGCTATAATAAATATTAAGTATATAAATATATATACATTTTTGGAAGTAAAGACCTTTTCATATATTTAATAAGGATCAATTAAATTCCAATAACTTCTATCTCATGAGATTTCTCCCTTTTCTTGTAGTACTCCAGCAAAGTTAAGTTTGATTAAAACAGCAAGTACATTAACAATGTCTACAAGATAAATTAAATGTATATTTGGCTGTACTCATAACGTAAAATTCCACTTTCATGATTCTCACTTATTTATAAATGTATTATGTTTCAGCATTAATCTACTTATTACATTTTCTTAATTTAGGAAAGTCTCATTCGTTAAAAGTTTCTGTTGTTAAAACTGGTTAACGACTTCAGTAGTGATAAAAAGTACGATTTCGGTTTCTATGAGATTCAGTGTCGTGAAAGGTCAGGGATCAACTTAAATATCTCTTGATTGAACTTGGTTAATACAATTATTCTGAAACAGATCTTACTAGTTCCAGTGCACAAACTTACTTGCATGATGAAATGTTTGCCATTTATAACAATTACATATCGTTGTATTCATTTACTCGTTGCTGTGATTTTACTCAATTTCTGACTCACGAATATTTTAATCTGTTGTTATTGTAATACACAGTGTAAAAAGGAATTACTAGAAAAATTGTATACTTCAAATAGTAGACACATATTGTAATGTAATGTTCGTAAGCCTTTGATGTTCGTATGTCCTTGAATGTCTGTTCAACACAAATATTCAAACGCATAACAAGTTATTCAAACCTGAGCCTAAAACATAGTCCAACAGAAATTTGTATTTTCTTTTACACTTTCCTATTAAATGAAAAAAAAAACAATATTCCATTTACTTCCTTGAAAACTAGATTTAGGTTAATGACAATGACGAAAAATAGCAAAACTATTTTATTGTTTCATTTATGGCTTAGTTTCTAATATGTACAATATATACAAACAAGATTTATACATATACACATTTTACACAGGTTAAGACACAATATTCAGTTCTGTGGATAGAAATAACTTCAGTAGGCTATATTAAATAGTTCAATTTAGACTACCGTGCAAGCATAACCATAGTCAAATTATTGTTTGTAAAAATACAATATCTTATCCTTTTGCGTCATTTTAAATTCTTGATAAACTCAAATACTTAAGTACCGGTAGAAAATATTACCCAAACGATGAATAAATCCCAGTTATTATACACTTTTACTTACATAATATTCACATGTGTCATGGGAAATAGGAGAAACGGAATGCGACACTTGTCTATTAAAATCAACAATCATTATAAACCAATTTAGAAACCTGCAACAATACCATATTGTTTGGACATGCTACCAACACAAATTAGAAATACTGTTGCATTATTCTTCGTAGAATTAAAACAACCGTGTAAATACTTCAATTCTAAAATCTCATGAAGTTTGGATAAGGTGAATTTATGAAGATCAAAGTTTTCTCACGTCTAAAAGCACAAGTTTTGAAATAAACAAGATTTAAATAATCAACATATCTTTAATATCTTTATAAGCTTAAAATATTACAGACTTATTCTGTTGCGCCAAAAATGTTCATAAAATATTGTTTTCTTGGTCTGTACATTAAGTTTACATAATACAATATCGTAGTTTACACGTAGTTGGGCTACAAAAAGTGACTGCCTAAAACAATTACACTTCTATGCTTATTGTTATAAAATTGACAGTTTAACGATGAACATGTATAGCTTTCAGGAAAACGACAAATCTAATGGAACAGAAACTTTGTAGTTTATTGTATAGAAAGCTTCATATTAAATCAGTCGTAGGGTAAACCAATCTTTCTGAATTATCAAGATAAATCAGTAGATACACAGACATTAATTGAAACATATCTTATAAACAAACTGTCGTACATTTTATCATAGACAAAATTTTTGTCTATGATTTTATACGGTATAAAATATTATTTTGAACTATACACAATGTAGGATATATTTTGTAAACAGTTTTCTCACAGATATTTACCTTATTTTTGAAACATACTAAAACATAACTTTTAACAAAATGTCTGATGATGATGGATATTATTTTTTTTAATCCTGCCGGTTCTGTTCAACCCTAAAGTGTAAATATTTGTTTCCAATTAACTAAACATAATCAATGGACGCATGCAAGTAATCCTACGACGCACGATAAGTTCAATGCAATAAATCGTATCACGTGAATGTTATATGATAACTTTCAATTACTTCTTCAATGACAACCTATTCTGATTGGTTGGAACACGCCTACTTTTGCTGGACAGTTCACATACTTAGCAAATGCACAGCACGGTTAATATTATAATGAACAAAATTCAGAGATGACATGTTAATGATGAGCTTATAAACAGTTAACTGTAAATTAATTGTTTAGTAAACAAGAAATTCAACATTGGACTTCGACACATCACTAATTCCATTGTTGTGATATCTTTATGTTTTAACACATACATTAAACAGATAATTTTATAGCAGATAGTTATACCTACATTTCTCATCTTTATGTAACAGCGAAAGCCAATTTTATTGTTAGTTCTGTCCGGTGCACTGTAGAGGTCGTGTTTTGTTTATAATTTGTTTCTAGTTATTTCAGTCAATTAAAACCTCGTTTAACAAAATAAAACGATCCAAACATAAACATTTACTTGTCCCCTAGTTATATATCCAAACGTAAAGCACAAATCATGAAAATAACCCTATACTAATAGAAACAGCATTTCATCGACACTAGCTATCAGTGTCACTGGACATGAACTAGACAAGAAAAACTGGCTTCAAAATTTACCATTGGATGAGAAGTTTACTTATGTTGGTTACCTTTGTGGAAAGAATCTAACTTGTAGAAAGAAATTTCTTAAAATAATATTTTATTTTTTCGATTCCTTTTGCTGGCCACTAAGCTCATATTTACTGATCGTTTATATTACTTCCCGATTATGATTAATTACGGATAATACAGTAATAGTTTTTAGGTTTCTCTTTAGGTACTTTTAACATACAGTATAATGTATTTTGCTAATCTCTAATCACATATTTTAGTACATATTTTTACTAATTCTAATATGGAAATATACATCAAACAAAATTACAACGCACACTGATTGCTTGATGTATTGATATTCACTGGGTACAGAGTGGCATATGTACACAACTGTTAGTTTTATCGTCAGCAATTGGTCGATTTAAACAAAATCGTTGAAAAGCAAACAATGTGCTCTGCAAACCTGGCTCAAAACTTGGCGATGACTATAGAATTAGTTGAAGGCACAGTACTTGAAAGATCTGTGATATATGATGGTGAAACGAGTTTGTGGTTATTCATTTGATACCTAACTTAAAGATACTTTTGTACGAGATATGATACCCGGTAGATCATTAAATAATTCTCTGAAATACAGTTTGAAAGGCTTATGCGTTGTATCGGTATAATCCGATTATTCGTAACTCCGTCCAACATCTTTTAATAAAAGACAATTTAGAAAAACTCTTGATTGAAGAAAGAACGAATCAACATACAAAAAGTTATGACAAGAACCCATTGTTGGAAAGACAAGTTCACTAAACCTTGTTGCAGAAACTAAACTGGAAGAGATTAGCTGTCTTAAAACGGCGGCGGTGTATAGCAAACAATACCGCTTTGTTACAAGTAAGTCGGTTACAAAACTTTACTGCTTACAATCAATCACTTCTTATAAAACTTTCCTACCGTAAGATAACTTTCAGTGTAAGTCCTCTTTAGTTACTTGATTATTGTACATTTCAACACATTATTGAAATCAAATTTATTAATATTTGTGCTCGAATTGTAAATACGATGAAACGTCATCACTTTCATAATCATGTTATTACATATTTATAGTAAAACAAAAATATTATGGGTTTTCTAGAAAGTGGTTATTGTAGTTGAAAGTGTGGAGGACGGTGGACGGTGTAGTTAGACATGGTCCTCCCTGGACACAGGCCCGTGTATGCTGAGCCCTCTGTGGCTGGTTGTGGCAGTGCCCGTCGTTAGACATGGTCTACCCTGGACACAGGCCCGTGTATGCTGAGCCCTCTGTGGCTGGTGGTGGCAGTGCCCGTCGTTAGACATGGTCTACCCTGGACACAGGCCCGTGTATGCTGAGCCCTCTGTGGCTGGTTGTGGCGGTGCCCGTCGTTAGACATGGTCTACCCTGGACACAGGCCCGTGTATGCTGAGCCCTCTGTGGCTGGTTGTGGCGGTGCCCGTAGTTAGACATGGTCTACCCTGGACACAAGCCCGTGTATGCTGAGCCCTCTGTGGCTGGTTGTGGCGGTGCCCGTCGTTAGACATGGTCTACCCAGGACACAGGCCCGTGTATGCTGAGCCCTCTGTGGCTAGTTGTGGCGGTGCCCGTAGTTAGACATGGTCTACCCTGGACACAGGCCCGTGTATGCTGAGCCCTCTGTGGCTGGTTGTGGCAGTGCCCGTAGTTAGACATGGTCTACCCTGGACACAGGCCCGTGTATGCTGAGCCCTCTGTGGCTGGTTGTGGCAGTGCCCGTAGTTAGACATGGTCTACCCTGGACACAGGCCCGTGTATGCTGAGCCCTCTGTGGCTGGTTGTGGCGGTGCCCGTCGTTAGACATGGTCTACCCTGGACACAGGCCCGTGTATGCTGAGCCCTCTGTGGCTGGTTGTGGCAGTGCCCGTAGTTAGACATGGTCTACCCTGGACACAGGCCCGTGTATGCTGAGCCCTCTGTGGCTGGTTGTGGCGGTGCCCGTCGTTAGACATGGTCTACCCTGGACACAGGCCCGTGTATGCTGAGCCCTCTGTGGCTGGTTGTGGCGGTGCCCGTAGTTAGACATGGTCTACCCTGGACACAAGCCCGTGTATGCTGAGCCCTCTGTGGCTGGTTGTGGCGGTGCCCGTCGTTAGACATGGTCTACCCAGGACACAGGCCCGTGTATGCTGAGCCCTCTGTGGCTAGTTGTGGCGGTGCCCGTAGTTAGACATGGTCTACCCTGGACACAGGCCCGTGTATGCTGAGCCCTCTGTGGCTGGTTGTGGCAGTGCCCGTAGTTAGACATGGTCTACCCTGGACACAGGCCCGTGTATGCTGAGCCCTCTGTGGCTGGTTGTGGCGGTGCCCGTATTTAGACATGGTCTACCCTGGACACAGGCCCGTGTATGCTGAGCCCTCTGTGGCTGGTAGTTGCAGTGCCCGTCGTCAGCGTCGTTAGGAAGGTGAAGCTGATACGACGGTCCTTCGCGAACACCGACGGCCTGTGGACACTCGTGTACTGCATCCTCTGAGCCCGCTGTGTTCGCTCCTTCTTCTCCCTGTCAGGTCAATGGTATACTTGAAATATTGAGTAAAATAATCCATCTTAAATGTATAATTACTTATAAGCCAGTTGAAATGGAAATACATTACGAGCAACCCTCAATTAGACCTTTATTTGAGTTAAATAAAGTATTCACTTAAAAGTCGAACCCCTCTGAATATTGTAAATCTTATTAGTAAGCCACTTGAGAAGGATGTAGAAAATATTTAAATGTATTTTTTCGATTCCGAATTATATAAGCTGCCGAAGCGTACCTTCCTTTTTAATAACGAACAAAACGGTTTCAAAGTTTTACGAGTTATATGTACCTGCCGAGGACAGAACCAAGCTCGCGACGGAAGTTGGTGTTGAGCCAACCGTAGAGCAGAGGGTTGGTGACCGTGGAGCTCATCGCCACCAAGTGACAAACTGAGAACACCAGGTAGATGGTTTGGGGGGAGGTGAGCGCGTGAGGGTTGAGCTCCATGACGACTGTGAAGGCAGTCATGGGCAGCCACGACAGGGCGTACACGATGGCGATACAGGAGAGGATGATCATTGTGCGACGGTTACGGCGGAACTCTCTCTTGGCTGCAACAAACGACAAACACATCTATCAACTTCAAGTCAAACGTGCGAAGGAATCATTACAACCAACAGCAGAACTAACAAAAGAAGAAAAACCTAGAAAACTAGTCCAATTTATTTAGTTAGTTTTATCATGTTTCAGTCCAGGGAGCCGAAACTCCATCGGACTGAAGCTGTTCTAGGAACATGTCCTTTTATTGTACTATTCTTTTAAAGGCTATTTTAATCTTTCGTTTTTATGCAATTAACGATTGTTTTACAAAACTTTAAAATCATTTGAGTAAAAAAAAGACTCGTAATTTCGTAATACTGTAAGGTTCCATTTTAGCCAATACAAGTTTTAAATTAAAATTTAAATAATAAATGGTAGTGGAAATTGTAGTATGCCTTTGGTTCATGTTTGAGCTTGTAGAAAACCATAACATTCTACAGTTAAGATAATGTACAATACCTCTTTTACATATAGATTGTCTCGGTCCTGGTGGAGATATCAGATGGACACTGAGGTAGGCAGAGATCTTCGTGTGGATGATTGTTAGCACGAGAACTGGCACAAGGAACTGCAGAACTGATAAACTAAGAGTGTAGATGCACTGGATAAGAGGCGTGGGCCATCGCTCTACACACACCTCGTACATCACCAGACCTGTCAGTGTCAATCATCAACATCAGTACAAGGAACTGCAGAACTGATAAGCTAAGAGTGTAGATGCACTGGATTAGAGGCGTGGGTCATCACTCTACACACACCTCGTACATCACAAGACCTGTCAGAGTCAATCATCATCAGTACAAGGAACTGCAGAACTGATAATACAAGTGTGTAGATGCACTGGATTAGAGGCGTGGACCATCGCTCTTCACACATCTCGTACATCACCAGACCTGTCAGAGTCAATCATCAACATCAGTACAAGGAACTGCAGAACTGATAATACAAGTGTGTAGATGCACTGGATTAGAGGCGTGGACCATCGCTCTTCACACACCTCGTACATCACCAGACCTGTCAGAGTCAATCATCAACATCAGTACAAGGAACTGCAGAACTGATAATACAAGTGTGTAGATGCATTGGATTAGAGGCGTGGGCCATCGCTCTACACACACCTCGTACATCACCAGACCTGTCAGTGTCAATCATCAACATCAGTACAAGGAACTGCAGAACTGATAAGCTAAGAGTGTAGATGCACTGGATTAGAGGCGTGGGTCATCACTCTACACACACCTCGTACATCACAAGACCTGTCAGAGTCAATCATCATCAGTACAAGGAACTGCAGAACTGATAATACAAGTGTGTAGATGCACTGGATTAGAGGCGTGGACCATCACTCTACACACACCTCGTACATCACAAGACCTGTCAGAGTCAATCATCATCAGTACAAGGAACTGCAGAACTGATAATACAAGTGTGTAGATGCACTGGATTAGAGGCGTGGACCATCACTCTACACACATCTCGTACATCACCAGACCTGTCAGAGTCAATCATCAACATCAGTACAAGGAACTGCAGAACTGATAAGCTAAGAGTGTAGATGCACTGGATTAGAGGCGTGGGTCATCACTCTACACACACCTCGTACATCACAAGACCTGTCAGAGTCAATCATCATCAGTACAAGGAACTGCAGAACTGATAATACAAGTGTGTAGATGCACTGGATTAGAGGCGTGGACCATCGCTCTTCACACATCTCGTACATCACCAGACATGTCAGAGTCAATCATCAACATCAGTACAAGGAACTGCAGAACTGATAATACAAGTGTATAGATGCATTGGATTAGAGGCGTGGGCCATCGCTCTACACACACCTCGTACATCACCAGACCTGTCAGTGTCAATCATCAACATCAGTACAAGGAACTGCAGAACTGATAAGCTAAGAGTGTAGATGCACTGGATTAGAGGCGTGGGTCATCACTCTACACACACCTCGTACATCACAAGACCTGTCAGAGTCAATCATCATCAGTACAAGGAACTGCAGAACTGATAATACAAGTGTGTAGATGCACTGGATTAGAGGCGTGGACCATCGCTCTTCACACATCTCGTACATCACCAGACCTGTCAGAGTCAATCATCAACATCAGTACAAGGAACTGCAGAACTGATAATACAAGTGTGTAGATGCATTGGATTAGAGGCGTGGCCATCGCTCTTCACACACCTCGTACATCACCAGACCTGTCAGAGTCAATCATCAACATCAGTACAAGGAACTGCAGAACTGATAATACAAGTGTGTAGATGCATTGGATTAGAGGCGTGGCCATCGCTCTTCACACATCTCGTACATCACCAGACCTGTCAGAGTCAATCATCAACATCAGTACAAGAACTGCAGAACTGATAATACAAGTGTGTAGATGCATTGGATTAGAGGCGTGGCCATCGCTCTTCACATATCTCGTACATCACCAGACCTGTCAGAGTCAATCATCAACATCAGTACAAGGAACTGCAGAACTGATAATACAAGTGTGTAGATGCACTGGATTAGAGGCGTGGACCATCGCTCTTCACACATCTCGTACATCACCAGACCTGTCAGAGTCAATCATCAACATCAGTACAAGGAACTGCAGAACTGATAATACAAGTGTGTAGATGCACTGGATTAGAGGCGTGGGCCATCGCTCTTCACACACCTCGTACAACACCAGACCTGTCAGAGTCAATCATCAACATCAGTACAAGGAACTGCATAACTGATCAACCAAGACTGTATATGCACTGGATTAGAGGCGTGGGCCATCGCTCTACACACATCTCGTACAACACCAGACCTGTCAGAGTCAATCATCAACATCAGTACAAGGAACTGCAGAACTGATAATACAAGTGTGTAGATGCATTGGATTAGAGGCGTGGGCCATCGCTCTTCACACATCTCGTACATCACCAGACCTGTCAGAGTAAATTATCAACATCAATATAAGGACTACAGAATTGATAAACCAAATGTGTAGATGCATTGGATTTCGCTCTACACACACCTTGTACATCAAAAGACCTTTCAGAGTCAATAATCAACACTGCAAGGACTGCAGAATTGATAAATCAAGAGTGTATATGCACTGAATAAGAGGCGAGGGCCATCGCTCTTCACATATCTCGTACAACACCAGACCTGTCAGAGCCAATCATCAACATCGGTACAAGGACTGCATAACTGATCAACCAAGACTGTATATGCACTGGATAAGAGGCGAGGGTCATCGCTCTTCACACACGTCGTACGTAGTCAGGCCTGTCAGAGTCAATCATTGACAAACAGTAGTAAGTAATATTACTTTACTAGAATTACTAACAAACTATAGAATAACTCTTGGTATTCTATGGTTTTATAGTATTACTATTGTATTTTCTTATATAAAAAGTGTGGCGACTGAAACACTTAGTACTATTACCAAGCTAATATAACTAGAATATACTTTCCTTGCTCATTGAACACTCGTGAGACACTGGGATATATGATATGTCCAATAAAATATACATACCGTAATAATAAGTATGCCTACTGCTCTTTAAGAAAAGGAATTGCAGACCTAATCATGAATAGATATGCTAAATTGCAGATTTGAAGGCCATGAAACTATTGCATAGGACGATTGCTATGACAGAGATAACATTTAACAGATGACATTTCAAACCACGCCACTCACCCCCAATTTTGATGACTTCCACGTCCTGGTAGAGCACCAGGGGGACCATAACTAGTACAGAGAAGGTCCAGAGGAGAGTGATGGTGACTGCGACGCTGCAAGTGGCCATCTGACATACCTGGCCTCTTGGCGACCGAACTATCGTGTAATACCTGCAGACAATAACAAAGGTGTTAGCGTTGGCTGAGGCTTGTGACACTGCAAATGGCCATTTAACATACTTGGCCTTGTGGCGACCGAACTATTGCTAAACCTGCAGACAACCTGTTTTGGGAGATGCGGCTGGTGCGTCTATCGCTCAGCGATGATCCCTCTGCGTCAATCGCTGGCCACTGCTTGCTTTGCATTGTTTCAGGTTATTCTAATTTGCCAGAAGCGTCCATCGCTACAGCCTCCGGCGTCTGTAACTGAGCTGCTCGCGTCTATCGCGGACCATTGCTCCTAGAACAGGAGACGCAGTCGCTAGCGTCTATTAGAAGAAGAAACACGTGTTTTTGTTGTTGACTGTTTGTTTTAACCCAAGTTTTAGTGACATGTCACAATCAAAGTGGGGATTTAATAGCAAGGGAAATGATAAATCGATTGAAGCCATCTCAGTACATTTCGCTTTTCTAGAACGGAGTAGTTTTTCATTGATAATTAATTGAATTATCTAAACTTTTATTTAATAATATAAAATGTATCCCCCTTCAGGTCTCTTTTAAAACATAGAACGCACTTCTTTCCAGTGTTCGCACGACGTTTCTAAAATTTCTTAATCGTCTAATTCCTCAGCTAAAAAATACCTCACTATTTGCTTTTTACAGCTCATTTCACAAACAGCACTCCTTTCACCCCCAAAGAAAACCACTCACTAATCAAATAGTCTTAACGAACCGACGCTTTTGGCAAAACAGCCCCGAGCGATCCTCGCTAAGCGTCAGGACGCACCAGCCGTTTCTGGCAAAACAGGCCTTTAGCGTTGACCAGCGTTTGTGACGCTGCAAGGGGTTATTTTACATACATTTGGAGGTGCCCAACTATCGTGTAATACCTGCGAACAACAACAACGGTGGTTAGCATTGACTGTGGCCAACAGTGTGTAGCCAGCAACGAGTAGTGGATATACTGTAAGGCTCGCCTCTTCATACCTTCAATATGTAATGATGCGATCCAACTGAAGGTTGACATTAGAAAGTAGGGTCTGGACCGTTAAATCTTTGCTTTAAAATTGTATAAGTTACAATTACTACTAGTTAGTTAAAAAGCCTGACGTTACTTCCCCCACTCTAAAAAATACAAGCCCTTTCTTGAGAGAATTTTTCTTTCTTAGAGAGCAGTTTTATTAACTACTGTTTTACAATGTGCAATCTCTTTAACATTTATGTAACCAACTGAACCCGATTTGAACTTAGTTTAAAATCAATTGATTTCTTTATTTCTGCGGCCAAAATAAAGTTACGACCAATCAATAATGAAGCCTGTAAATATAGATTCCTCCAATTATGAATGCTTTATATAGGTCAAGCATAATGACTAATAATTAGTCATTATTAGTGTGGATAACAAAATTTGTATTACCAGAAATTATATTAGCCGCAGGTTTTAAAATAGAAAAGTTTTCATTGTATTTAATAAAACCTTAACCTCATATGTGGATGTGTTTGTGTAATTCCATCTGTCAGTATTATCAGACACGTTTGTAGCGGTCCCATATAAAGGCCGTAGACCTTGACTCCCCTTTAGCCCCTCCCCACCACCACAAGTGTAAGTGTACACACACCCTTACTGGGCCAAGGACGCTACCGACGCTGCATGCCAACTTATTACCTTATTTACATTTCTCTGATAACATTTATTTCATGGTCAACAGTGACAGTTGCACAAGTCAGATTAAATTTCATGTGAGATAGTAGCGTGTAGTGAAATAAAAACCTCAGTAAAACGTTTACCTGCAGTATCAATGTCCTTGTTTCATCCAGAAGTTTTAGAAATTACCTTTATTTTTTGGCTAACCAATTTTAGAGAGGACGTTTATTTGTTAACTATAGTTCACAATTTCAGATAAAGGAGAACTGAATCAGTTGATTAAAAATGCATTCTAATGCATTAGTGAACGGAGTGAGCGAAGAGAGCGAAGCTCTTATACGTCGACTGTTATGCATTTCGTAATACGCAAACTCCTCCTAGACGACTAAAGCAATCGTTTACAAATTTTGCATGGTGATAAAGACCATATCGGCGAGTGCCAACTATATGGCGTGAACAAAATCTCTCAGGAATCCGCCCCACGGCGTCTCAGAGTTTCAATGTAATCCTTATGGAAGCATTATCTATATATATATATATAAAATCCAATGTATGTTTGTTTGTATGTACGTATGTTTGTTTGTTTGTTTGTTTGTCCTTTATGGACTCCGAAACCGCTCGACAGATTGTAATGAAACTTTCAGGCATTATTAGGCATTATTCAAGGATGGTTTGTGTGAAGTTTGGTACAGATGCGTCAAAAGGGCTCCGCCCCAGTGGCTCTGGAGTTTCCCATGTTAACCTTATGAGTACTCATATTTAAATGGAATTAAAGAATCTTAACAGCTGGTTTAACTAAACAATTTGATTCTGTGATGTTCAATAGCATTAAAAAGTTAATAGGTTTAGCAACAGGGTGCGGCACTAATATTTTTTAAATTTATGACAACAGCTAATTTGCAACCAAAAGGAGAGTGAGCGTAGCGAACGAACTTCAACCTGGAGGCGTAGCGTAGCGAACGAGCTAACCTGAAAGCAAGTGAGCGCAGCGAACGAGCTCTAACCGAAAGGTGAGTGAGCGTAGCGAACGAACTTCAACCAGGACGTTATTGAGCCATGCGAACGAGCTCATCTTGAAAATGAACGAGCATTTGACATAAAACCACATTAGGACAGGACAACGTCTGTCGGGCCAGCTAGTTTGACATATAATAAACAAAGGAATTAGATCAGCTGTTGACTTTTAAATTCAGTTGATCAAGAAATAGCTGATGTCATTATTCCACAGATATTAGAACAGAAACGGTGTGTGGATCATAAATATAATCAAATGACGACATTAGCTGGAATCTTACACTAGGAGCCTTAACATCTTGTTTGGACGTTTATTGACAGTTCCATTTTGAATAATAAAACAAACATGTTTGCTTTCGGTACGTTCAACCATTTCAACTAAACTAACAGTTGAAGTTGTGTTTGAAATGTTCTAGGCTTACTTGAGAAAAGCTTATATTATCTTTTTAGTAGCCCGTATATTAGCGATGAAGTTTGGGAATTAGTACATGAATTTTGTGGGGTTTTACAAGAACAGAACTACGTGTTTCAAAGCGAACAAAGTTGATGTGTTTACATGGTAGTACATACAGCCTATCAACAAGGACCACTAGGAAGCACAACAATTTTAGCCAAAACTTGACGGCTTGAGCTCTCTTGTCTCTCATGTCTTTGGTCACTTTCCGATTGATTATAACAATTATTAACGTGTGAATGTGTGTATTAATGTGAATGTTCATATAACTTCTGTAACATTTGACTTAATGCTCACATTCATTAAAAAAAAAAATAAGCCAAATTACAAAATTAATTAAAATCAATCTATAAATTTAATATTGTAAAAAAAGATTTAAATTGTTTGACTGAGTATTTTCATCTAGTTGGCTAGTTAGTTATGTTTTAGTAGTTATGAAGGCCTCGGATCATATATATTTCGTGTTTTCACTTATATAATCACCACTGCATGAAGTATCTTTATGCAGTTATCAGTAGCCAAAATGGTAGAATCCGAAACTATAAGGGTTAATTTCTAGGCTATCACTAGCTGGAACTGTACCGCCTTCTGTTTAGGAAAAAGTTGATGACTAACCCAGAGGTTTTAAACTTAAAATGTAAATGCAGGTTTTCGAGAAGGCCTAAAATGACATCTCGGTGTTTTTACTCCCCTTCATTACAAAACTTTGTTTAGCCAATCTAATTACCCCAATATTTATCTCTACACAAATGTTGTCTTCACTTGGCCTACCACACACGGGAGACTTTTTCGGCCGACTGTCTGGCTGGACTCTGGAGTCGGGTGGACAATCAGAAAGTCGTCAAGGCTGTTTGGTCGTTGACTGTGGGTGCGCACACGCCACGACTGTTTAGTTGTCTTTCCAGTGTCACAAGGGTGGATATGACAGAAACCGCTGTCATATGTGCGTTACTGTTTAGATTTATAGCAAGAAAATGTGAAAGAAAATAGTGGGTGTATCCAAGTTATGGTCCGAGAACCTTGAAATGCCAGTTTTACCTCTTCTACTCGGATTTGAGAAAATATCCGGACAAATCTTTCATGTACTAATGAATGAGTGTTGATAGTTTTTAATATTATGACTGAATACTCATTCAAAGACTTTTTATAAAGAGGGGGCCGAGCCTCCACTTCATCAATGAATTTATAAACTTTTACGTCTCGCAAAACACTTGAACTTGTCGCAGCCATAACGCACTTGACTGTCTGCGTAGCGCACACACAAACAAACTCTGACAGACAGACATACTTTTTAGTCGTCAGTGTGCTCGTTCTAAGCCTTTATCAATACGTCACTACAGTTGAGTCGGGGAGCAGTCGGCGGCAAAATCGGTCAGCCCCAGACCAGAATGCCCCGACTGTCTGGCTACGGTCACAGAAAACGTACTACTATAACCCAGAATGCCAACCCGCATGGTAAAAAGCATTAAGCGTTTTGAGAGAGCTTTGCCTGTTAATCCGTAGGCAGCGCCACCAGCGTTGCTATGCTATTGCAATCAACTTTGGGTGGCGGGACCTATATGACTCCCGACTACGACAAAATAGTCGGCCGACAAAAAGTCTCTCGTGTGCGGTAGGCCTAAAACTGTAGGTAAAAAGAATTATGAAGCTCGATTGAGAAGGTAATAATATAAACTCTGCTGACTCCGCTCAATTTTGTGGATGCCTCTGCGAACGCTACCTAATATATCAATCAATTTAGACTAGGCCCGTTTTCAAAAAAAGGCAATGCAAGAAGCATTTCATGTAACAATTGGGGAAACAACGTTTTTAGGGTATTTCGACCCTGCTGAGTACGAATCTGCCTGTTGCCAACGCGAAATTTGAACCGGAAGTGCGGTATCCAAGATGGCGGCC